CTGAAAGTCTTTGATAACCTTATCAATCACAAAGTTGTCTAAGTGATAAGCAAAGTGTATAACAGCAAAAATACCGGAGAACCTCAGAAGAGCAATCTACATAGTATTGACAAAAGAATCAGATGCAAATGAATGCAAAGTCACAACTAAAATAGACTAGTCTGCTTTAGAACTTCCTTAGGCCACAACACTTGTCAAAATTGAAAAATACTGATTTTTTTTAATCAATTTAGAAGTGGGATCCTGTTTATAATATCGATCCCTGACTTTTACAGAGTTATCGGACTTAAACTAGCTGTTATTTACAAGTGTCAAGTTTGAAATTGTGCTAAGATCATGGAAACCTCTACTAACAATCAGAAAAAGAAAGACTAAATTATAATGACACATAATGAGGAAAGATGGTTTGCAAAATTTAGCACTGACAAGGCACATTGAAAGCAAGTAAAACAGATGAGTAGATAGCAGGAGTACTTAGAGTAGTTAAGGATGAGTCATAAAGGAGGAGTTGCTTACAGGAACAAAAGAAAGTTATAAAGAGCCATGACTGCCTACATGTTGAAGCAATATGGCATATAGAAATTTCTTATGTGAAATGCACAATATGCATAGCAAATTCATAGTAATTACCTTAGTACAAATAAGATAAATTTTGTTTAGCCTATTGCACATTGTAATTCATCCAAGCCCTTCATACATTTTGCCAGCATATTGTATGCTTTTGATGAATGTGAAATGTTGTGTAAACCAGTAAATGCCACTTTTAGACATGTTAGTCAAGTAGAACCTTTTGTTGAGAAATAATGTTGAATTATTGTAAATTTTAGCATACAATATTATTGTCATGCACACATCAGACATGGTGCATTAAGCAAGAGGAAACAATATTTAATCCAAAGAGAAACACTCAACCAACCAAAATACAAAGCAAAATGCCAACTTAAGAGTAGTCTCCATTTATTTATTAAAAAAAATTAAAGCTTTCTCTGTAGCAATTTCTAACTCCTTTAAGCCTATAATACACATCAAAAATCCTGTTTTGATAAGACTTCATTTTTTATCATTAACTTTTCCTAGAAATAATTTCAGGAAGTCAACTCTCATAATTATCCTTTCTAATATTTGGACTTTCACTTGATCCTCCCAAATGGAGCTCAAATTTAGTCATGCAGCAATGTACTTCCTATTGTCAGTTATAATGCATTTTAAAACCAGTCAACCTCTTGCCTGGATAAAAGGTGTCTTCTAACAAGTAACTCCCTGCTTCTTATGTCTTAACTCCAGATGATATTCATTCCATGTCTATCATTCCTTTTAACATTAACCACTAGTATACTCTTAATTTCAGAATACCCCAAATATAGGGATATCACATCCAGACCTGGCAACATAACCCTACCATAAAAGTATTTTTCTTATTTACGATTGGTTCTTCTAAAGCTAAAGTAGGCATCTTGACATGGAGTAATGCTTAGCAACATTTTTTAGTTGAATATTTAGTGAGTTCAATCCTCACTGAATGCACAATAATTGTGACAAATTAAGCAAAGCTTTGTAAATGACACAACTAACTTACTAAACACTACTTTAAAGCAAAATGTTTGCCTGAACAGTGATAATTAAGGGTTGAAATTTGGCTTATAGACTGAATTAGTATAAAAACTGCTTTTCAATTAATTGAGACATTCATCCACCAAATTGGGAAATTTGAGACTGGATTTCTGCAGTTAGTAAAGTTCTGATACATTTTTTCACTTGAGACAGGAAGAGCAGCTATATTGCCATGACAGAACATAGCTGTTATGAAAGTATTAAATACAGCTGAAAGCACACAAATAATATTTGTTGGCAACAGAGAAATAATATACAAAGTTTATTCACATAATAAATGATGTCAGTGATCAAAAATATAAATTTTTTGTTAGTCAGATGTGTCATGAAGCAAATTTATTGAAAAACTGATAAAGAAATTTAGTCAAGCCTCAAAAATACATTAAAGGCAAAATTCCAGATTTATAAAGAAAAAGTCAGATAAATTTAGCAAAGGAAAAAATCTCAAACCTTTCCAAAAATCTAAATTTCTAACGCTTTTAAAATTATTTTGAGTTATTTCCCTTACATTTCGGACATACAAATCTCTTCAGAAATACCTGTCATAAAGCAATGGCTAGCTTGTGTAATAAGTTCTTCACAGAGTGTTGTCGGAGTTAGCTCCTCCTTAATTTCCTAATTCTTCACTAGGGGTTTCTCTCCCAACACTACAAATACTGGGTGACTTCTTGCCTCATTCTCTTTTTCATTTCAGCAAACACCTCTCTCTCGTAGAAATCCATGTTTGGCCCACTCTTGGGAAGACGCCATGAACATTATACACACATGCACATACATACAAACATTCACCGAAGAACAAACACAAATGTTCACACACGCAAATGTTATTGTCTATGCCCATTGTAAAATTGTTGATATATATATATATATATATATATATATATTCATGAATCATTCACACAAAAAACAAATATAGAGGTTAATGATTTAAATGGCGAGAATACATCTTCGCAAACAATATAAATGAGATACATCAACCACAAACCTGTATATGAATGATATGATGCCTGTTCATAAATTCCAGTTATATTTGTTTTTTGTGTGAATGATTCATGAATTTATAAATTATAATTTGCACCTTTAATTGAAATTAAAATAACTGATCCAACGTGCAACTTTCGGATAATAAGTGTGACATTACTGTAATTATTGAACAATATAGTTCATGCCACATAGACAGAAAATCTACCAGTAAAAAGAATTCTTTTGTACAAAAACGCACAACCTTAAAATTTAAATTCAAACTCGCGCGTTCAAAAACAATAACACATTTCTCATAGCATAGAAATGTTGAAACAAAATGGCTATTTTTGTAGTTATTTTATAACACGTTTTTTATAATTTTCAAATTATATATATATATATATATATATATATAATGTAATTATTATTTATTATTTTAATTTGATAAATTATTTTAGTGTTTATTTATTTTAAATAAGGTCATGATTTAACCATTTTCTTTTAGTTTTAAAATGATTTTATGGTCACATATGTTGGCATGGGAACAAACCCCAACAAACTAAAGTATTGTTAAAACCAAGTCAAAGCCGATCAAGGAAAATAAAAAAAAAAACAATAAATCAAAAACAAAAAAGGAAACAGAGAAGAAATAAAAAAAATCAAAGAGAAACACCTACCTAAACAGTAAAAGAGAGCTCTATGCCGAAATGAGCAAGTCAGAACAAATACACTATCCTGCAACACCACTCAAAAAGAAACTGCTACTCAAGTTTCTACTGTGATTATCAGCCAACCAGAATGTAAATGAATAGAGAATAAACAAAATTTGTAATACTAACAGAACACAGGCAAAAAAGAAAGAAAAAAACATGTGAACAGTAGCCACACAGAGAAAAAAGAAAATAAGCAAAGAAAAAAATTCCTGTGGGTGGACCTACTTATTTAACTAAACAGGGGTGGGGGTGGAAAACCACTAGGCTAATGGCAGATGGTACAGAAGTTGTTTAATACTATGCTTACACCTACTAACCCAAACTCTTATTTAACCATCTAACGTCACTGCTCAGATATAATATGGCTGACTTCTAAGCATAATCTGCACCCATCCTGGCTATTTTTTTTTTTAAATGTTTTACTCTAAGAATTTTCCAAGTTATTTTAGATCTGCTTACTCTTAATTTCCCATTGTGGGGACAGTGCATTTTCATATTATTCTGATTAAAACTCAGCTTATTATATCTTTTTTCCACTTGTTCTACGTAGAGCTTCTCTTTATTTGCACTATTTATTTTTGTTTTAGCCAGATATATATGGAAAAAAAATTTTCTGCGATCATGTATTCACAGATGGAATTGTGAAATCGAAAAATAATTAAGAAGAAAAATGTTTACATGAAAAAGAAAAGTAGGTTGTGAATTTTCTGAGAATATGTTGGCTAGTCTATTTTTAAATATTTTAAAATTTTTCTAAGAAACTGTATGTTTCAAACAAGATGAAAGTCAGAAGGTCACAGCTCGGTCATGGCCACTGAGATCCATTGCTAAAGTGGAAATGGGGAAGACAGATATTAGTTGATGTCAAAATTGGAGGGGAAAGTGAGAGATAGATCAAACCAATAAGTTTAACAAATTCATTTCCTTTAAGGCCTCACACAATTTACAAGTAAAATATTCTAAACAACTTGTAAACTTGTTTTATGAATATGAAAGAAAAATAAATGCTATCACATGCCTACCATGCAATTTAGAAATGAAATAAAAAATTCTCCAAAAACACCATTCTATGAAACGACTGGCTTGTCTAAGCTTACCATCACACATCAATTCTCCTGGATTAATAATTGCATCATCTTCAGTGCTTCACCATTGTAAACAAATTTAAACTGACCAAAAAACAAAAACAAAAAAAACATCCTTTAATAATATTATCTATCAATGATTATTTGTTCATATTTTACTTATATTTTGTAATCTAAACCAGTTGTATGAATAAGCAACAAATTGCCAAAATGACTGAATAAAGTCAATATAGTGAATCAACCTTAAAAGTTGGGTCTGCTTCTTTAAAAAAAAAAAAAAAAAAAAAGAAGAAAAAAGTGATCCCAGTATTTAAAATATGTGCTAAAGCCAGAGTAGAGCAATTTCCTGATGACTTTTTATGCAGAAGAAAATGTTATTTCGTAAATTCTGTCTCAATAGTATTGACATATTTAGGGTTGACACAATCAAAGATCACATCAAATCAAAACTCATTTGACAAAAGAAGTCTTCAAAAAAGTCAGCTCAAATGAAACAGAAGACAAGCACAACCTTGTTGAAGAGTAAAGAGGTACAAGATGATTTTGTCCTTGATTTTTTGAAAATGTGCACTTTGTCTGACATTCTCCTACACAAAATAAGCCCATTCATATTAAAACATTGTAAAGTCTAACGTAATAAACCCTGCCTGTTGCAGCTATGTCCTGTCTCCCCGGTGGTTCTGGCTGAAAAAGGAATCCACTCGATCTCCTCCCCCCGGTGAACTGAAGGAACCACCAATATTTGCCACGTTGTGAATTCTTGATCCGAACAGCAGTTTATCGGTCTCCCCAGAACGGTCCGGTGGGAAGGGGAGGAAATAGCTGGGTATTATGCTGAAAGGAAATCACTATTCATGCAAAAAAGAGTTTCTTGTTATAGCCGCAAAGACATGAAAAAGAAAAAATAAGCAACTCTTTCAGTTCCTGTACAAAGAGCCCTTTTTAGGCCACTGTTTTTATGTCACTACCAAAGAATTTACACGAGTACAAAATGTCGTAATGAGGTTCACTCGTTTGGGGTCAGAAGTGACAGAGAGAGAGTAGGAAAATTTCTGCGTAAACAATTTCGGCTGATCTAAGGGAAGTAATTCAGGGATCTTCGTCAGAGCATGTAATTATAGCAGTTTGGTTTCTCAGCTTTGTTGGCAAAATTAACTGGTTTCATACAGGGTCTGTTTCTATTTCTGGGTTTGGATCGGACCCCTTGGGCACGTGACAACCAACCAACCGAACCAGCAAATTCCAACAAGCCGTCTCTTCCACGTTCTGACGTGTTCTAAGAGCCACTTTGTTCTCTCCCTGGTTCTGTGATCTGACTAAAATTCAAGCGTGCGGGCAGCTTATATAGAGGCGGAGCTAAACCGCCCCCGAATTTTAATATGCAAATTGCCTTTGACCACCATACAAGCTTTTCCGGTCCCCGAAACTCAGCGGGAGCCCAATTTTCAAGAGATACTAAAATCAGATTCGGACCTCCTGCTGGGTCTTCCACAGACAATGTCTACTTAAGTTTTTCCAAAACCACTTATCCCGTCTGGTTGAATTCCGCCATTCAGACCACCCAAAAGTCCAATTCGCCATTTATCACAAACTTTACTTCAATGAACCCGTCTCTTAATCACTCTGGAATTAGAAATCTGAGTAAACGCTTTTTTTTTAGCTTTGGTGGAAGGGACAAAACTCTTTTTATAATAATGGCAATTTCAGACTACTGTACATGGAAATACGGAACGTATTAAGTAAAAAAATACAACATAAAAAATTATATGAAAAAAAATTAGCACCACTAACTTTATTATACTTTGCAATTTTGAACTCGTAAATTTTTTTTCTACTTAATTACTAATTATCACAAGGAAATGGGCTAATACAGAATTTTGCACGATTTTTAAACTATTATAAATTATTATAATTAAAATGTAAAACAAATGAAAAAATTCTTGTAAAATTTAATTATTCATCAGAAAAAAATTATTTCTTCAGGCAATAATGACCTTAATATTACTTATTTACAAAAGCAATTAAAAGCTTTTATAATTAAGTAATATCATAGATTTATTGGATTCATTATTTTTCAATTCAGAGCAGATTTTTAGTTAATTAGCGCAAATTTGAAACAAAAGAGTAGGTGATTTACCATCTCTAATGACTCTTACTTTAAAAAAAAAAATTGTCAGGAAATAAAAAGGTTTTGAACGAAATTTCAGGAAAATAAGTAAGTGGGTGTAACATATTTAAAAAAAATTTTTTACAAAATTTTCTAGAAAGAAATATTTAAAAAATAATTTCATTCATTTGTGAATAAGTCCTGAAAATTTCATTAAAATCGGACAATTACTTGATTTTTACAAGAATTTCCAAATCAATGTGTTTTCAACGGAAAAAAAGCAAAAAAAAACAATGTTATTTTAACAGCACCGCGATGACGTAAACAAAAAGAAGATTTTAACCAAAATTTCAAACGTGTTAGAAAATAATAAAAAATTTCAAAAAATAATTAAAAAATACTTTGGTCTTTCATCTTAATAATAAAATAAGCATTTTTACGATAAAACTTGATTTACATTAAGTTTGTGGCATTTTTGATACGCTATGCCATTTCCCGCGAAAAAGTGGACGTGCCTACATTTAATTAACTAATAACTCAACCCCAGAAACAATTATTAAAAGAAAAAACAAGAAAAAAAATAAACTTATTTCTGGAATTACTCCGGAATCCCTTCTACCCAAGTAATTAGCACCTTCATCCTAATTCTTTAGCACTGCTGATTACTAAATCCACCTCGGGGTGTTTCTCTATGTCACAAAAAGAAAGTGCTGCTATTCCAAGTGTCAATTGTGTTAGGCAACTTCCTCTACTAAAATTGTTTGCTTGTCACTTTACTGCCCTGAAAGACAAGCTTGCTAATACAATCAGTCAGTATCATAAGAGATGAACCAACTGTTGTGACCACAGCATTTTGAATATAATTGCAAGCATTCATGGGGAGTCATTTCTCATTGATGGGATAATGCAATCATCAAACTGTAAATCAGGCATGCATCCAAGCTGTAACTCATGTGGATATTACATTTGAGGATATTATTGCTTTTGCAACAGATTCTGCAGCCTATTGCAAAAAATGCTCACAAGGAAGAATTGTCAAATGTCTTTGTTAACATTTGCCATGCGTTGTACTTAGCACATATTTTAAATCTTGTTAGTGAAGTATTTCCACATTGGCCAGCATTTGATAAAGTTATTCAGCTCACTACTTTCATCAAGTCAGTCTTTTAAAAAAAAAAAAAACAAAAAAAAATGCAATACTTAAAATGGCTTGAAGGTTCCTTGCCTAAGGAACAAATTAAATTACCCCCTGTACCAGTGGCAACCAGATGGAATTCCTAGTTTAATGCAGCCAAATATCACTCATCCTTTGTAGTTTCATGAAGGATTCTTTAAGCAAGAAAAGAGCCACAGCCTTGCAGTGGATAGGATTCTAGAATTAGTAGATGATGGTCAACTACATCATGCCTCTTGCCATAATTTGCACCTAAATCTGCATTTTATAAATGAGAACTGCACCCATTGACAAATTTAGAAGAAACTAAGTCTCCACGTGCATGTGTTGTATATAACATGATGGAGGATGTAAAACAGTACTTGCATACTGGTACATCAAAACCAACATTTGGACTATAAACTGATTGTCTTTTGTCTGAATTAGAAAACACAGAGAGGGAGAGAGTTATCTCAAATTTCCAAGATTTTTTCAGCACATCTTTTTTGAAACTGAATAAACACCTGGATACCCACCCTGTGTATAACTTTTACAAGGCAGCTCATCTGTCTGATCCTAGACAGCTACCCTTGCAATGTCCTTCTACTGATCTTCTTGAAGATTTACAAATATATGTGAATTACCAAGATGATTTACCAAATCCTTTTAATATCCCATCATTTTGGAATGCAAGTAAGAGATTTCCTTTTCTGGAACAGATTGCCAAAAAGGTCATATGGATACCTGTTGCCAGCATAGATGCTGAACATTAATTTTCTCAGTTAAAATTTACTCAATAAACAATGTGAAAGTCATATTCCTGAGAACACCAAGCAACTCACAAAGTTGCATTACAATGAAGATTTAGAGAAGAGATTTGAAGATTAGATATTTCCCAAATTAAGAAATTAGAAATTTTAAATTTGATCAGTATTTTTCAACTTGGGATAAGTTGTTTTATTTAAATTTTGAATTAATATGTCTAATTTGTTTTTTGATATTTTGTTACAAAAGATTCAGTTATTATGGTTTAATTACTGTTTTGTAAAATTTTAGTCAAAATGTTTGACTTTATCCAGATATTTATTATTGAGATTCAAGTTATTTGCCATTGATACTTTAAATGTGATTTTTATATTATGAATCAATAATTATAAATCAATCTAAATAATTTTACTAAAAAAAAAAAAAAAAAAAAATAACCACACACAACAACAACAAAACAATTTGAATGTGTTAAAGAAGGAAACTGATTAAAAGTTCAACCTCAAAGATATGCACTGAAACATTCCATTGTCTAGTTTTTATTTTTACATATAATTTATTTTGGGACTTGGATTTTAACATTTAAAAAAAGATTTCTATTTCTTTATATGCAATAAAACTTTGAATTATGTTTTAATAATAATTATAGCATAATGTATTGCAATTTTATCATAAAATACTATAAAAATGGAAAAAATTACATTTCCCAAAAGTAAAAAAAATGAATTTACCAAAAGTGGAAACAGAATCAAGGAAAATTTGAAATGGAAAATCAGAGGCCCTAGATATAGTATATTTTTAACCAGATAATCACCTTCCATGAGACGTGCTTTTTGCTTAGTTACACTTTGGTTTGCTTTCTTCAGCATTAATATCACTGATCAGCTTTCTGTTATGGCTGTCAATTATCTTTTTCATGTTTTTTCTCACAATAAACTTTTACATTAGAGTTCACTAATTTTCTCTGAAGCAGCAAAGAGGTTGCTAATTAATTTTAAGAATATTTTTCCTGTATTTGTTTTATTATAAAGAGCATTGAACCATATTTCTACTTCCTATTCCTTGTAGTATTTTTTGTCATAGCTCTTTGCCTCTCCTATTGTCAAATAATTCAAAGTTACATTTAAGTAATCCACTTCCATTAAATTTATTTTAATATCTAGTTAGTTCATATTCCTTAAAAAAAAAAAAAAAAAAAATGAAAAATTTAGATCTTTGTTTATCACTAACTCTACCATTTTTATAATCATAAGCCTATCATCCATATAAAGATAAAGGCCCAAGCTCTTATCAAATTATACAAAAGCTACCATAGCAGAAAAATCCTTACCAATTCTGATAACTGTGACATTGTAATTTCCAATACGTACATCAAACCCTTTGCTCTCTTATCGTTATGGAAAAGTGAGGATTTTTGACAATGAGCTATAATACACATTTCTTTGCTTATATCAATTGTTGAGTTAAATGTATAGCCTTGTTCAGTAAATCTGAAAAAGAGGAGTCAAATTCCCTAATATTGACTTGTAAAAATCTGTATTTATTCTTTTGCACTGTTGATAAACCACTTGATTGCTGCTTTAGTTTTCATTGATTAAACCCTAAAATTTGGAAAAGGTATAAATGTAATTTCATACATTTACATTTTATTAAAATTCTAATCATTACTTTTTAAAACAAGGACAAACCATCCTTTTAGACTTTTTTTTTTTGGTGGGTATGATGGCCAAAGTTTGTCAATTATTCTTAGTTCATTACAAATTCTAAAAATTTTGCTAACCTTACTTGTTTATATTTTTTTTTTTTTTTTGAGAGGGGATACTGACCTACTTTGGGGCCTACTTTTAAAATTTATTTTATGATCTTTTAGTTATCATTACCTGGTTTATTTTCACCTTTCCAATCTGATTATCCAGTTTTAATCTTGTCACAATGTTTGTTGCTTCTTTATTAATTTTGTTCTCCCATTCACAGGATACTTTCTTAAAATTGTTTTGTTATTTTGTCTTTTAGTACTTTCCCATACTGGTAAAACTTTCCAGACTTATCTTTGACAAACTTTAAAAATAGTGCTAAAAAGTTCCTCTTCAAATTTATCTAAGCTCTTTTTTTTGCATTTTTTCATTCTGAAGCCATAATTATCTACTGTTACGCTATTTCCATTATTCTTTCCACTAATTTCATCCTAAATTCATAGATTTAATATTAGTATAGTTTTAAATGAATACCTGAAATTAACCTTTTTCCTATAACCATATTCTTGTCTGTATGTTTAATGCAGCATGGTACAAAGTGCTCTACCACCTGACTAGTGAGAGCTAAAACGACAACAAACCAAAGTATTGGTAAAACCAACACAAAGCTTTATATATATATATATATATATATATATATATATATAAATAAAAACAGGCAGGCAGGCAGACACTATCTGGGCACCAGATGTGATACAATAATTTGATTTATGGTCCCCACTTATTCTCAGAGATCCCAATGCATTTTTCCACACAGTTTTATCTTTCTTTCATTCTAACCTGAATAAGTAGGTGCTTTTGTCAAACACGTCACCAATGGATGAAGAAGGTTTTCAATTACAAAACACTCTTCAGGGTTGCTTGTCACACAGAATACACAGAAAAAAAACTGTTTGGTCTTTGTAAATTGTTTACTTTTCTATATATTCAATGACACATACTTTCATGTCAGACACCATTTTGCTACACTACCTGTAACAAAAAAAACAAAAAAAACAAAAAAAAACAAAAAAAAAAACCCCCTCTACTGCCATATCATCAATACTCACCACTGATGTCATGGGTTATAGTTAGTATTTAACATTCCAAGACAATAGGAAAAGAAAATACATGAAAAACTACACTCATCCTCATTCTTTGGGGTGTTGGAGTGCAAATTCTTTGTTGTTTGACTTAAAACATAAAAGCTGCCCTCCAATAAATGACCTTAATGATCCTATTTCAACCACAAGGCCCAGATATCATATGCAGCAGGTATAAAAAATAGATTCTGGTCTTTCACATAAAAATAAAAGAAAACCGATAGCAACATTTAAATAAACATTTTATTAAATGAAATCTCCCCACCCAACCCCCAAATGCTACCTGTACATCATTTCAGCCATCTCACTCATTTTTTTTGGAATATGAACATATTCCTCAAAGTAACAAGCAAGTTCATTGACACTCATGTCATCTAATCGAGCCTGCAAGGAACATGTTTGGTCTATTGAAAATGGTACCATATTTGAGTTGGAACCAACAGATGCAGAAAGCCTCAGATCCAAGTTTGGCTGCCCACTCACTCCAAGACCATTGGTGAGCATATCATATGATGAATTATTCTGGTAGACTAAAAACTGTGGAGCATTTGGATTGTTACCAACACCCAATTGTGGCATTTTATGAAAACTGTCTGATGCTTTTTGAGCTAGGGATGCAAAATTGCTAGAACTTTCTGAATACTGACCAAAAATATTAGCCTCATCAAATTTGATTGGAGTTGACTTGTTAGCCATGTGTTTGGCTCTTTTGGCTGCATTAAGTTGAGAGAGAAACTTTAACCGAGATGCCCGCAACACACTCTTCTCTGTACTGTCTGAAGGATGTGGCCGGAATCGAGCCTCTTTTATGACACCCCGAGGACTGGATGATGACCTGGCCAGATTGAATTTGTCCAACATTGATGATGAAACCTTTTTCTTCAAATGAATTTTGCTGCATTTACAACTGTCTGTCTTACGACATTCCTGGCAGAGCAGCTTCAGTTTCTGCAGAGAAGTGATGCAACCAGTGAGAGGTTCCTCACCAGAAACAGATACCATAGCATCAGCAACACCCACTCCTGCTAATGGAGGACTCGTAGATGGAGTACTTGGAGGTGCACCACACACCCTTAACTCAAATCGGCTGGCAACTGGAGATTTTAGACAGTCAACAATTTTCTCATCTTGGTTTTTCCTTTGGAAAATAAAACAAAATAGTCATTAAAACAAAAATGAGTTAATTCTCAAAAATAAATAAAGAATGAATAAAGAGAAGCAGATTTTAACTTTTATCTTGATGTTGTTGTCAAAAATTGTTTCAATCATTCTATTCTCCAGTTAACACAATCAAATAAAAGAAATTTACTTGATAATCATTTAGTGAATATTTCATAAACAGAAATTTGAAATTTAAAAATACTTTACTAAATATCACAATTTTCAATATTTATAAAAGATTTTCTTATTAATAGGCTATTATGATTAAAAGCTTCTCTTTATTCAGGCAATTATTGACTGTTTATGGTTCCTTACATTAAAAGTACTTTCCCTACATAGCATTAGCATAACAAAAATTAAATTTAACAGTAATTCCCAACTGTATTAAAGTTTGTCCAAAAATGTAGATTAAATTATTTTTAATTTATACAGCTAACAGTAATAAAATGTGCAGAAAAAAAATCACATTTTGTGCAAGTTTGTGATTATGTCTAAAACTAAGAACTTCTGCAGTAATGAGACAAACATTACAGTAAGCAAGGCTTTGTTCATGTGGGTACATCCAAAAAAGCCCCCACACATGATCAGAGTAGATACAGACAACACATACCAGTGTTCAGAATCTATGTCCAAGAGTTCAAAGGCATTATGAAGTCCCAGTTCTGCAGTTCCACTCAAGTCATTGTGTTGCCCAGTGTTATGGCTACAGACATTGGTAGTGGAAGTAGTGGTGGTGGTGGTGGTGGTGGTGGTATTTGTTTGAATATTATTGGTACTGCTGCTTTGGATGCTACAATTATCAATGCTACTGCAACTGCTGTTGGTACTACACACAACACTGACAGGGCTCAGAGGGGGTGTAACAGAAGTTGAATTGGTTGCAGATGAGACTGTCTCTTCCACAGAACTGTTGCTGTTGTTGTTAATCTCAGACATAATTCACATAAAATTTATCTGTAGACAGAATAAAAGAAAACATTATATAATAAAAGAAAAAAAAATACAATGACAAACAGAAAACAAACCAAAGGAATTATGAAAATTAAATTGAAGCATAAGCAAATGTTTCAATCCTTTGTGGTCTTACAATTATTGATTAGAAAAAAGTTTTCCTTGACTGGGAGTGCATAACCCTAAAGAAGGCATGTAATGTAAAATGAGATTTGATATGCTCTTTAATACTGTGAAGCAAAAAGAAATTCAGTGAAAGCTACAAAAACTCAATCCCTGCTAGGATTTGCAAAATAAATGTACAAAACTTTGTCTAAAGTAAACAATGAAAAGATCAAATGTCAGGATTATTAAAAAAAAAAAAAAAAAAAAAACGTCAGTCAGTTTAATGTTACAATAAATTCACTTAAGAAAACTCAAAAGTTAACTACAAAAAACAACCACACATTATTTTTCTACTGTACATTCTAATTATTTTATTCCAATCAGATAAAACACACACACACACACACACACTTGCTCCATCCACCATTACACAATTTGGAGCCAAGATCTACTTCACTCCTGCAAACTTAAAAAGCTTTTCAAAAATGAAAGTCTTTTTATATTGAGAGAAAGAATGCATTTGAACATGAAGTTACATGAAGGAAAGGACAATTTCAGAATGATCCAACATGCAGTGAATCAAATGAGTTATTGTTATTCTACAGACATTAGTAAACGGTAGATCAAAACTAAAGATTAAGCTCTTGATAAGACTTGAACTTTTGCTGTAGGAAGCCAATTTTACCATGACAGCTGTTCTTACTGAGCCCCACATGAATTCCAGCATTATATAGTCACAATGCAGAGGTCATTTTAGTGGAGGAAATGTATATATCTAGTTTTCAATTCAAAGTACATTTCTTACAGATCATGTTTTTCTGAAATAATTCCTTGCAAACTGTAAGCAAAGCCTGTTCTGGCCAACTTACTCACAAAATCCCCCTTACAGCAACAAACTAATTGATCTGTTATGTAATAGCACAATTTTGGACATCCATTTCACAACAAAAATTTTGTACCCTAAAATCCTTTGATTTTTATCACCTTGGAAGGTTGAAAATGTATTCATCCTATTTTCCTATGGCTAAATCAACTTGGTCAGTTGACAAGAAAATGGTGGTCTTAAATTTTCTTTATACAAAAAACTGTACACAATCACACAGTGAATTATTATGTCATTATAAAAGAACCAAATGGTAAGAATGATTTATTGAATGAAAACCAAAGATTGTGCTTTCTTATGCAATTATGCATAGAGCTTTGAATATGACAAAAAAAAAAAAAAGAATATACAGTGTATTAGTGTCAATATTAAACAGTTAATTTCATCAACTTCATACATTCCATGATGTGATACAACTACTGGAGGTGATATTTTCTTGATTATGTTTGCCAATCAGTAAATCATCCTTATCAGGCTACTTCCAATATCAAGGTCCATTAGTTATCATTACTTTAAACTTGGCAACATTTTCAAAGACCTGTAAAATTTCTCCAGAGTAAAAAAAAAAAAAAAGTTATATTTAACAGTCTCCAAATTTGGTATCTTGTTACAGTGGCATTGATTTTTTTATGGATGGGTTACACTGGTCATTGAATGTATTTTAGAGGTACCATCATCAGTTATTACTTTTGTCATGACCCATCTGTGTGGTTCAACATGATGCACACAGATAGTCCCAAGATACACGTATCCAATCCTTCTCAGTACCTGTGGTTTCAAGAAGATTTAATTTCCTCTTCAGGTAAAAAAAATCTAAACAGTGCTTCTACCAATGTTTCTGCACTGTTTATTGTAAACTGTTCCACTAGTTCCCAAATTCACTGACAACACCTTGTGGCTGAATAGTTCCACTCAAATGTGATAAGGGAAGAGTTGTGAAAGATTTTGTCCAATGTAGTTAAAAATGAATTTATTCTTCAACTGGCTAGATGATCCATATATCCACAGCAACCATGGGCCCACTTTATTCTAAAAACCAAATCATGTGTATGACAACACAGAACTGGTCTTTATATTTACTAGACACCGTTTTAAGATTACCTTTGAAATTCTCAGTAAAGTCCATTTGAATCATAGCCACTGTGTCCTCTTTGCATGCATTCTCCTTAGCATTCTCATAATTCCTTTTTGCATAAACATGAAATTCAAATTTCAGTAAAACAGCTTTCAGGAGAGTAATAGCATCATTAAAAGTTACAAATTGGTTTTCTTTTCCAATTGCTCATTTTTAATTCCCTGCCAGTAATGCCCATTGGAATCTCATCCATGCCTATTCAAATGTGGTCTTGCATAACTTGTGGTTTGATGAAATGCATTGCTTACTAGTTATATCACAAACACAATCCCTCATGAACTGCTCACAATATAATGGAAAGAGATGCGGAAGTTGGTTATGAAAGCACTCTAAAATCTAAATCATGTAGCTGCAGTATTGGCAGTCGCACACATTTTTAGGCATGCTTAATGAAAGCAATACCTCATTTGATCTAAACTCTGAAAATTTGCTATTCCCAATGAGCAAATCAGGATATTCTTCCTTAAAAAGAAAAAAAAAAAAAAAAAAAAATCACTAACATTAGGTAGCAAAATAGGGCATAGATAAAAACAAAATTGTGTTAGAACCAATAGAGATTTGGTAATTGGTAACTAATTTCATAATTTACATCTGTGCTAATTCATAGTTTATGAACTAAGTGCAAAAAAAAAAAAAAAATCATACAAACCTAATTTAATCACCAAAAAAGGCACCAATGTTTAGAACTTAAAACAATTACTTGGTTATGTATTTTAGTGCATTATTTTACTTACAATTATTGTCATGTGATGCAAGAAATAGTGAATTATTTAAACAAATTAACCATGTCACTTATAGTAAACTAAGACTATTTTTATTTCTGCATAAATAGCAAAGTAATTGTTCTAAGTAATGCAGTTATTTGAAATAAGTGCTGTGTAATTTGCTGTGACCAAAAAAATAAATAAATAAAAACATTCATACTTGTGATTACATAACAGCCAGTATGGAAGGAAATCACTGGGTATTTGAGCTGTAAATGTGTGTGATAAGTAAAAGTAGAAAATACAGAAGCACAAATTACATCAGCAGCTTACAGTAGGTATCCAAAAATATTTTCATTATATCTAAAAACCTTTAATACAGACATAGAGAACTTAAAAAAAAAAAAAAAAAAAAAAAAAAAAACAAATTTATCTTGGTAGCTCAATTAGCAACCAAGTTATAACCAGTTCACCAGTTTTCCATCGCATGTGCCAGAAGTCCATTCCAATAATGTATAACTGCTAGTTAAAAATCATTATAAATGTAATGTCATAGGTAGTTTTGCAGTAAACGAAATATAAAGATAACGGATTCATTATATCAGCCTAGCCTAAACATTGGGAAACATTGCATTCTGAAAAAACAAAATAGTTAAGGCATGACACAGAAGTGTACATTTGACTGTAGAACAAAAAACAAGTCAAAAATATACCACCCTGAACTTACCATAAAAAAAGCATTCATTGGAGATACATGCCTGAATCTTTGAAACTTTACTAATTTTGGGATGTGGAATTCAATAAAAATAATTCTTTTCTCTATAATATGAAACTCTTTTCCCATACATGTACCTAATTTTGGAAAATTCTGTGAAATTATAGAATTTTCAACTTGACAAAAATGGACAGTAATGACTACAAAACTTATGAATTTGTTTCATGAAATGAATCATTGGTCAATCCTTCAAACAAATGCCTATTGTAAAGGCTTTAAACTCATTTATTTTCAAGCTAAAAACACTGAAGAGTGATTGATTGATTGTTTATTTGTTTTACCAGCATATCAACACCTTTGGGTTATTTAATGTTGAAACTGGATTTTTATTCAGGAATGTTTCAAAACATTTCAAGTGGTTTTGACTTTTTAAAATTGTTTTCCCAATATCTCAAGTTCAGTAGTATTTCAAAACATAATTTCTATTTTCTATAGAAGTTGGAAGTATTTTATTTTCTATTATAGGGGCAGAATTTTGAAGATCATATTGAGATTTTGTGCTTGATAATAGTTGCAACATATTTTTTGTGCTTCTTACATTCTATCAAGATATGTTTGACTGTGAGAAATTGATTCCAGTGGGTACACTGAAGTGTAGTTTCTGCCTTGTGTGCGTGTCCAATTTTTATTCTATTATGCACTGTTTTGTCTGCAATCAGCTAACAGCTCTATATTCTCCTTTCTTATTGTTGGCTGATGTTCATATAGTTTATTATTTGGGAACATGTCCCAAGTTGCTTGCCATTTTCTCTTGATGTGTTGTGTAATTTTGTTTTTATAATCTGTATATTGGAGTTTGATATTAGTTATTTTCATTGCCTCTTTTGCCAATATGTCAGCTTCATGATTTCCTTTGTTGCCTATATGGCTAGGAATCCAGTCCAATATTATTGTTTGGTGCTTTATTAAATGATGACAAGTTTCTAGCATTTCTTGAATATCGGGATGATTTGTGTTTTTTTCAACTGCTGTTAGGGAATTTATAATAATTGATAGGAAACTTATGGTAGGCTTCTTATCTTTTGAATCTTTGATCATTGTCATTTTTATGGCTTGTAGTTCAGCTGATAGATGCATTATTTGGTAACTTGGTTTGTTTGTGAATTTGTGGCTGCTGTGCCTATTCTATCTAGGATTTTTGATCCATTTGTGTAGAATTGTCACAATATATGTCTCTTAATTCTCCATATATGCTTTTATTGATTGTATCTTTTTTTTATGTGTCAATGTTAGGTCTATGTGAGATTTGAAGATTATCCATAGAGTTACCTTATTTATTGTGATTGCTGTTATGTAATCTAGTTCTTTGTTCTAGTGCTTCTTGATTTGAAGACCAAAAGAAGGTATAGCTGTTGGTTTATTTGTATAGAACTGGATATATTGAGGTTCAATGTTTTTTGG